TACCAGAGATCACAATTTCTACCCAATCTTAAACGCTGTGAAGAAGAAGGCGCCGCAGAATTCGTCAGACTAGTTTCAGCTATAACGAGGTTAGAAGGAACAATGTAGCTGAACTCGAGTATTCATGAATACGCTTTTGTGAATTACGCCTTGCTTGGCTGTTATGTTTGTTCTAATCAGAAGAATATTCACAATTTTCTGCAATTGTTCATAAAGATCTGTTATTTTCCGTGTCCTGTTTCCATGTACATGACCCTCTATCATCTTTTATGGTGCTGTCCTTTTGGGGATTCATGTATCCCCGAATGGGGAGCACATTCACGGGATGGACCACATTCTGTGCAATAAAAGATCCCAACCAGTGTCGCTGTCAATCTTCAAAATGGCATACGATCAATTTTGCTCATGTTGCTCCAACTCACGAGGAAAAACATTATTAAAGAGTTCTTTTAAATGATGCCTTTCACGAGAACGATCACACGTTGACAATGTGCACGACGCGCGTGTGCGTTCCAGCTACCGTGTCTCCAGCAAGTGCTGCATACGGATTCAGTGGCGCGACTGCGTGGAGCCACTGAAATGACGGACGATAACGATTAAAGTCACCAAAGCCTTGTTAAAACAGTGGAAGAGCTCGCAGACACCTGCCGTGATGCTGATTGACACCGTTAATGTCTTCTCATGCAGTTCCTAGATAAAAGGGATGCCACTGAGGGCATTTTGGACGGTTTTGCTTTTCCCTGCACTTTAACGTAGGCTACACATTGGTCTTTGCCAACTTCACACATTCGATTGGCGATCTTAGTACGCCTCCAAGGTGTATCTATAAAGGATAGACCTGATAGTGATCAGAGAGTGCCATCCGGCTTATATACACCCTAGTTCGCAAAGGATGGGTGAGCGTGGTTACTTTATTTAAAAGTGGCAGCGACTGCCCTTCTGGTGGGATATTGTCGTTGGAAATATACCTTTGTCCATTACAAGATGGCAGGTACCGAATGGAAGTAATACGCAGACAGAGATCCTACGCTATTTTCGGCACTATTTACCCTTTACTGCCCCAGCCATCCGAAATCAGGCCAGTTCCTGACCGACTTTTTTCTCCGTGGGCAGAATTTGCTGAAAACTTGGCTCCAGGGGTAGTTCGACCCGCTGAACACGAATATCGCATCCGCTTGACCCGAAACCTCCTGGCGCCCGCGCCACGGCGCCGGCGCCAAAATACTCGAAATCACCAAATTCGCTGAAAACTTGCTCCCAGGGGTAGTTTGACCCCCTGAACACGAATATCACATCCGCTCAACCCGAAACCTCCTGGCACCACGGGCACCGGCGCCAAAATACCCCAAATCATTGGCGCCTGTGGCGCGGGCGCCAGGAAGTTTCGGGCTGAGCGAATGTGATATTCGTATTCTGGAGGTCAAACTACCCCAGGAGACAACATTTGAGCAAAATCTGCCTAAGAAAAAAGTCGGGCACGAAGTGGCCTATCGGATGGCTGGGGCAGTAAAGGGTAATATAGTGGCGCCCTTATTTTCAAATAAAGTGTTCATCCAATGGAAAGCTATTTAAAAATACGTTGTTATCTTTAAGCTACTCCTAATGAAATCCCTTATTTCACCTTAAAACGAGAACCCTTCAATCTCTCTGCTAAAAGTTTCTCCTTGCTGTGTTTTCGCATGCTGATCTCAAAATGCTTCACTCCCTTACGGGTGGTCATGGTGAATCGTTATTGTTCACTCTTAACGCAATCCGCGCGTAAAAATTGTCCGATGTAGCGAACTCAGTGACTTGGACAGCTCAATGAGTAGGAAAACCAGGGTGGGGGAGAGTGGGGTCGTATCAAGCCGAAAAAGAGGGGCGTTCGTACGGACTCGTGCAAAATCCCCAACCAATCATGTGCACGGGCGAAGTATGTGCCGCGGCTCAATATCAGCTAAACGGGTTTATATACCTTTCCAGTTGCCTCTCGAGAAAGACGTACACATTCGTGAAATCAGTAAAAACTAGTTCCGAGTTCTTTTGTTATAGCAAGTGCAAGTACAAGTCCAAGTGATCTGCACCGCTAAATTAACAGTCGAAAAAAATGAGCAGGCAGCTACTGCGATCTTCTGTCTCTACGGATTGTAATTTTGATTTTCTGAGGCCTTTGTAGTGTCTATCTTTGACGTTTAAACAAGACAACTCGAGTGTTCTGTGCAGCCTTGTCTCTGCCACACACAGTTAAATAGTAAAAGAAATGGAATTTATTTGAAGAAACGCGCCTCAGCAAGAGAACGAAAGTCGTGAAACTCCTACAGTGCTTCATTGTGCCCTACAGTCAAATGTATTTTCCAGTGCGTAGAGGCTACCTGATGATTCAAGTATTACCTTTAGAAAATAAATCTGTTATAAGAAGGAACAAAAGGCCACTCAAGCAGCCACAGTTCCGGAAGTACGGGCCGAAAAGTTTCTCATAGGTCCCCCTGGCACCAATACGATTTGGGCGCTATTATCAGATTGTAATACTAGGTGACAATCCCCTCGACGGGAATTGTTAACTCTCTGTTAACTCTCTGTTAATTGTTAACTCTCTGTTCCCTTTTTTTAGTGAAAGAAGCAAGTATTCCCCGAGAGGAAAGACATTCGTTGATCAGAAGTTCTCTACCATTCACCATCTCTTTCCTTCATTGGTCACTGAATCATGGTAGTCAAAACGGTAAAATACGGATTATAGAAAAAGAACTTGAAATTGTGAGCGAAACTTCTATAGCGTCTGCCATAAGATGTTTTACTCAAGTAAGTAAAAGTGATTTTTTGTATGCCGCATCAAGGTAAGCGCTATCAGGCCAACCATAAGGCAGCAAACATAATTTGCAGCGACAGGTGCTTCTGTGTTCCCCAAGAGTAATCATCTCGTAGCGTCAGTGATCGTTGTGCATCCGTCACTCAGGCAAACCCTTTTTCCATCAAGCCAGTCATGACCAGCTGCGATAATGTTGAACTGAAAAACGATCTCTACATGAATGTGATGCACTCTTTGTCAATCATCGCTCTTTTTATGAATCTTTTCGCCTTTTACTGCATTGTCTACAAATCAACGAGGCAGATGGGCGCTTATAAATGGTATTTGCTTGCTTACCAAGCGTCATCCACTGCATTCGACACTGTGTACACTGGTTTTATAATACCTGTAATCTACTTCCCAGAGCAATGGGTTATCCTGGCTCTTGGCTGGCAGTGACATTATCTATCACTGGCCACGCTGGCGTAATTATGGTGTTTCTTACAGCTGCTCTACTTGTTGGTTGTATTCTCAACCTATTTAACTATCGTTGTCACGTGGTTACTCCAAACCATTACTTTTTCAAAATTGGCGATAATGGTGAGTAGTGCATGAGTACCGTGTCAATTCAGTGTTTTTACTAGTGAGAGCAATGGAATGTGTACATCTGTGACTCTGTTTGCTGAAAGAAAAAGGATCTTGAAAAAAGGCTACATTGAGAGAACTTGTGGTGTTCCTTCGGTAGATCCAGTGAACAGCCATTTTGAGGCCACATCTACACGAGCTCTGCTATATCACTAACCTATTTCTTATCTTTAGCAGCTGCTTTAATTGATATTTTACCTGACCAAGAAGAGCGTAAGATGTCTGCTGTGAAGGTAGTCTTTCTTGACATGGATTGCTTTTCCCGATGCTCAACGAAAAACTTGCGAAGGTCTCGTGAGGGAATCACATAGAGTTGTGAAAAGAATTCAGTTTTTCCTATACAAGGTTTAGCATCAGCACGTATCATATTAGTTCAGATGTACCCTTGCTTGCAATCTATTAATATATGGTAGTTCACGTTTTACGTTCGTTCACAATAGATAAAGGGATGCGTTTGGCTATGACAGTTATAGTATTGGCGGTTACTGCAGCTGTTATTGCAGTACTATGCATTGTTCTCTCCTTCTATTTCATAAGGATGAGTGGACATCTGTCACAGAAAACGAAGCGAATGCAAAGACGATTTCTCATCTACCTTTGTATACAGGTAGGTGTCGAATGTTGTTGCATTAATGTCCTTCTTTCGCGTTCTTAAACGAGCACCTATAGCCGTCGTAGCCGCAAATAGTTGGTAGTTCACCCTGAAGGGCCCTGTCTCAGTTTCATCGCAATTGGTACCATTATTCATCAGAAGAAAAAAAGGCAGGAAACTTTTCAATATTTCCCGCGTGTTGATACATAACTTATGCTATAAAAGTGAGTGAACTGCAGTGATTTAGTAGTGAGACCGTAATCAGTCGTTCCGAGGTCAGCGGTTCACAACAGCTTATTTTCCACCACTGGTTATTTTATTGCTAAATCGATCACTACCCGATTGCAATTTGTAGAACAAGTCAGGTGGAGGCGGGGTGATCCCACCCTACCCCTACCCTACTCACGCGGCTGACTACAATGTTGCAAACTATATTTGCTTTTCAGGTGGCTATTCCCGCGCTAACTATGCTGGTACCTGTACTGATGTTGGTTTACGTCTTCGGAGCCTCCACAGATGGAGGTTTGTTTCTTTGTTTATCACTCAGTAAAGGTCCCACCACCCCTCACAGCCAGAGTATAGTAGTCAAAAAAACATGAACCAAGCTCTATAACGGCACTTTCGCCGTTCTTACATATGTATTTATTGTCTCAAAACAACTGCAGGGGCAATAGCTTAGAGTCGTGCAATAACATAATAGTATTGAAGAACGGAAGTAATTCAAGTGGAGTTTGGCGGGTGGCTTGAATGTCAAAGTTCGGAGCGGATCCCGTTCGAACTACCCAGGCTCTTCGTGGCTTCGCGAACGTGCACTTATGCTATATTCGTGACTGCAAAATCACCCTTCACACTGGCTGCCTCTGTGCATCCCTTGCGTCACATAGGCTGAGCATTCTAATAGTTAATCAAAAAAAGCTAACTCCTTGTTGTAGCTAATATAAAGCTTAAAGCGAGAGACCAAACAAATACATGTGTAGTCTGATTTCAGGGAACAAATTCAAGAAAGATGAAGGAGAGAAATGCGAGCACCCATAAAATTCACTCTAGAGTTATCATAAACGGCTTAGGCAGCCATCCCTTGTCACCATCTGAACCAGAACCGGTACAACCACTACCGGTCTACAATAGCTCTGACCGGACCACCTCACACGAGTAGAACGTTGGTCGCCTATCTTTTAGTGAAAATTGCTTCAAACACGCTCACCTGGAATATCTCCCAGACCGTCGCTCCACCTTGCATTATGATTAGTTTTTATCGAGTGAGAGCGATCGCTACGGGAGCCACTCATATATGTAAGAGGTATTTGGCTGTGAGCTGCTACTCCGTGGAAAATTCTGGTTCACAGAGAGAGTGTGTTCATTTTGCTTAACGCGACACAGCATTTGAACCAAAGACTTTACCAGTGCAGCTTACGGCAGAATATACTATTCTTTTGACTTGTGATTAACGTGCAACGTTGTCTTCGTACCTCACTCTCATACAAGAAATCTGTCTTAGGCCTTGGGAATGTTGCTCTGGCAGTGATTGGGTCCCACGGTTGTGTGTCATCGCTATCTGTGGTCATGTGTAACGAACCGTACAGGAACTATGCGACTGAACCTTTCAAAAAACGTAAGTTCCTATAAGCGTGCTACATTCTCATGAGCAAAAAGAGCTGTTTTCTCTCAACCTGAACATCAACGTCATTTTCTGGCTTCAGATGTGGGAATAATAACAGAATAATAACAGACATATCTAGTAGAGACACATGAACTTATAGTTTGTGCTACAGAGAGTACAGCATTGATCTGTCCCATTTGATAGCTAATTCCGCGATTCCCCCATAGAGATCTGGAGCTCTTGTGAAAAAAGGTATTGTATGCTGCAATTGACACTTGTGCACGGATTTCGTGTCACAAAGTTGTAAGGTAGGGGCGCAAACCCGCTGCTCATGTGGCTCATCCACGCTGTCCTTCGCGTCCTTTGTCGTTTGGGTGTCCTCGCGCTGCTCTTGTCTAATCTCCCGGAATTGTCATCTCGCTCCTTGCTTTCAGGGAGGAAGGTCAGGATTATTCATATTCATGATCCATGTACAGACATGCATGTCTAGTTTCGGCTCCTCCACCTCCATAACCGAGCTGTTTATCGACTAACTCGTGATAAAACCTTGTATGGAATCAACCTAGTGCGTAACCTTACATTATGACGTCATATCGCGAAAGACACTATTGCAATTCTCCAGTAGCCAGCAACAACCATTGGCTTCCTAGTTCCCAACCTCACCACTTGACTTTTTTTGATTTGAATACATTATACTAGCCATATTAGCAAGAGAAGTTCATATTCCAGTATGGAGAAGGAGTTAATCACGAAAAATAAGGAGCATACCAGAAATCACACTTTCGACACATTGTCAAGCGTCGTGAAAAGAGGTCTATCCGATTTATCCTGCACAATTCAACAGACCAGCTTCCCAGCCAGCTTGTGGATTTAGATAAAGGTAAAAAGTAAATGACTTCTATCAGGAACACTACTTGTCAATGATGTCACTGTAGTTCGCGCCTTGCTCGTCTATTGTGTTGATAAATATTTGCAAATTCGGGAAATTTTTCCACAAACTGGCCCTTCTTTGTTTAGGTTTATGGACGTAACCCCCCCCCTCGAGTTAGTGCTAGAGGACAACGAAAGGAGCTACAACGCCGCTTCCATGTTCTGATGAGCACAACGACGAAAAACTTCCAGATCTAGTGCACATTCAAATGCCGAATGGAGTAAAATTGAGTTTGTGAAATAAAAAAAGATTGAAAGACTATAGACGCTGCTTGAAAATGATCAGTCATTATAAAACACGGTATAATTTGTAACTTATGGTCGGTCAAACAGTCGCCGCGTTTAATCGCTTGATAATTGTGCGATTTTCATTTTCAGCGCACCACTTTGCAAACCAACACCACATTTCTAACCAAACCCACCACTTTCCAAACCAAAATCACCGCAGCTTTGGAAGGGGGCAGTAGTCAACTAGGTCGCGCTCAATACCGCTGCAAGCCCGGCCCCGACGGCCCCGCCCACCTTCCAGCGCGGCCA